ATCTAATAAAATTAAAAAAAAACACAGAACACAAATTGTATCTATGTAATAAATATAATCCAGTTAAATGGAGGGAAAAAGCGAAATACTCCAATCTGATACCTTTTGTCAGTTTCAGTTTGCTAGATATAAAGTGCAGAGTTTATCTTGGTGGGACCTTCAATATCAAGCAGTTAATTTGCATAAACCCACAATTCTTTGTCCCAGGAAACTGAAGGATAAAGTTACAGATAAAAGAAGGGAATTGGGAGAATATTTATTGGAAATATGAAAAAGAGTGCATGGTGTATGCCCACCACAAAGGGATACTGAAAGCAGAATTGCCTTCAAGTGGAATTTCTGTTTCTAGTTTTTGAGGAATTTCCCATACTGATTTCCATGGTGGTTTTGCTAGGTTTCATTCTCACCAACAATGCAGAAGCGTTTGTGTCATGTTGCCCCACTGTAAACCCTCACCTTCAGCAGCATTTGTTGTTTTTTTGGTCCTTAATTATTGTAATTTTTATTGGACAAAGGTCAAATTTCAGTGTTGTTTTAGCTTGCATTTCTTAATGGCTGGCAGTGCACAGCATTTTCTCATCTGTTTAGTAGCCATTTGTATTTCCTCATTTGAGAAATGTATGTTCATTTTAGTTGTCCATTTTTGATTAGATCTTTATTTTGGGGACTTGAGTTGTTTATATATTCTGAATATTAGTACTTTGTCCAAGGTATAACTGGTAAAAAATTTCCCCATTCTGTAGGTTGTCTTTTTACTCTTTCTCTAACTACATACATATCAGGCATTCCTACTGTGTAATACTTTTCTCTACACATTTAATTTTTTTTCAGTTTTTTCAGATGTCCAGCTCATTTGTACTTTGCAAAATAAACCATGGAATTTCAAAGAATATGGAACCATGTGTATCAAATCCTGTAGGATGACCTTTTCCTCTTTGAATAGAATTGAAATTTATTGGTAAGTTTACTTATTGTTCTGGCAGATGTTTACATAATTATATGCAAAGTAATTGAGTAGTACTTTTATGTTTAGTAAGTTTGCTTAGTATGTAATAGTTCATGTGTTTTGGTTAAAGGAGCTTTTATTTATTTAAATATTCTTAACTCATTGATTTTCTAACAATTTACATTTGGAAAATTTTAAGCCCATAGAAAGCTTGATAGAGTAATATAGCTGATAGCCATTCTATATCCTTCATCTAATTTCAGAGAAACCCTTTATTTTTAATCAAAGACCATATTACACAGATAAATATTTTAATCATAATCTTATGACAGAACACAGTAATGTAATGCTTAAGATTGTAAGTGATCTGGATGTAGTGTAACTACAGGGTGGGTGAATACATGCTAAGGAGTTAGACTAGATCAAAGTAATGTCTTTCTCTACCTGTATTTAATAAGCTTGTTTGTAACTTTGTGAAAAATATTGCATAGCATTAGAATGCGCTCTGCTTTTTATGTGTTGGCTCCTACTTGTACATGAGAACCTTTGGGATTGGGTATGTCTGAAGCTATTCTTTGTCAGCCAAGCAACTACCACTGTGATCTTCTGCAAATTAGTGAGCTGGGCACAGTTGTGTACATCTGTAATCCCAGCTACTTAGGAGCCTGAGGAAAAAAGATCAAGAGTTCATTAAAAGGTCAGTGTTCTGTGGGTTCAATCCTCAGTACAGGAGGGGAAGCAGGGAGGGAGGGACAGAGCCAAGGAAAATAAGGAGAGAAAGAAGAAAAGAAGTTATTATAGATTAGTCCTTGCTGGGGAGATGGCTCAGTAGGATAAGCTCTTGACTGGCAAACTCAAGGATCTGAGTTCAATCCCCGGTTCTGCAAAAATAAATAAATAAATAAATAAATAAATAAAGAAAGAAAGAAAGAAAGAAAGATAGATAGATA